GGCCGGCGGGCAGGGGCTGGGCGGGGGTCTGTGGGCCTTCCCTTTGGAGGGTGGCCCCGGAGGGGGAGAAACCCCCCAACCCATCCAGGTCCGTCCTTACGCAACGGGGGGCTGTAAATCAAGCCAGGCTTTTGAGATTCGTCAGACGGGGAAAAAGTTCTCTTTGAATTGAGCTTCGGTTTCCTGAAAAGGTCTGGGGTTTTTTTGTTTTTACCCCGTCTTTATTATTTTTATAACTAACTCAAGGCGGCGAATGTAGCTAATGCTCCTTCCTCCCCCTGTTTTCCCCACAACAGCCACCCTGTGAGGTGGGCTGGGCTGAGAGAGAGAGGGGGACTGGCCCAAAGTCCCCCAGCCGGCTTTTGTGCCTCAGGCTGGACTAGAACTCACCACCTCCTGCTTTCCAGCCTGGGGCCTTCACCACCAGACCAAACTTGTTTTTTTGGCAACCAGGCAGAAGTGGCTTACATCTTCTGCCATGTTTTTTCCCACTTCCCAAACCAGTTTCTACTCCTGGTGGCCTCTCAATCGAGCATTAACCAAGTTGGGCCCTACTTCACCTTTTTTCAAGGTAAGCCAAGGATGGGGCCATCTATCCAGGCCTGAAAGTTGAGTCAAACTTGACTCCTGTATACTTTTCGTGGCAAGAACACAGAAGCGGTTGGTCGCCGCCTTTTTCCAGCACCGAGATCTCTGTGTGGTCCCCCATCCGAGTCCTAACCCGCCCTCGCCCTGCTGAGAACGGTGGAGCTCAGCCAAGGTTGCCGCGTTTCATCTCTCGGCATGGTTCAAAGATCTGGAGGCCAAAGATCTTTGCTGCGGGCGCCGCCCGGTCAGAAATCAGTGATTTATTCGGGCAGGTGGATCGTTGCAGTTTCATTCTGATCCTGAAGCAGGGAAGCGAAGCTGAACTCACCCTACAAAGGACGGCATTTTGAAATCCGGCCAACGGATCAGGAGGATTTACCCGTGGTTGGTTTGCTTGTTGACTTGTGTTTTAAGCCTGAAACCTGCAGCTTAGTGTTGTTAGCAAAAGGAGAAAATTAGGTGGATGTTAGATGATGGTATTAGAAACTCAGGAGGCGGAGATCTCCCGCCGACGTGGAGACTTAGATTGAATTCCTGCCCAAAAATTCAGCACTGGGTTCCCTCGGAGCAGTGTTCCTCAACCTTGGCAACTTTAAGATAGGTGGACTTCAACTCCCAGAATTCTGGGAGTTGAAGTCCACCTATCT